TGCTTTGCTCTGCAATCCTTTTCAGTTATTAGGACCTTTCACCCTGCCTATAGTAAGCTGATAGTTAACTACAGGTAATAATTGTCTCAATCATTTTTTTTTTTTTGTGCTCCTAATTCTGATTAAAGTTTCAGTGTGAATTAAATTCTCCCACCTGAAGAGATTTTCTACTCTGTAGTGGTGCAGGAGATGTAATTTCTGAAAAATGCTTTTTTCTAGGGAAAACCACTTGTTTATAGGAGGATAGCATGTGGTCTCCTGTACCCTTGTAGAGCTCCTCCACTTTGATGAATGGCTTCACTTGGTGGTTTAGGAATATTTCCTAGATCATACAGATCCAAACACAGATGAACAAAAAAGAAGAGGTTTCCTACTCAAATGCACTGTGCAGTCCCTTTCTGCTTTTCATCTGAGCAAAAAGATGAGATTAGGTGCCTGATTACATTGCATTAGTGTGATAACATTTTTGAAACATAAATACAGCTGAGCTGCCTCTCACTGCTCCTTCAATTGGGTTCATGTTGAAAATACTCTTTCCTGCCCACTTTTGTGGCCCTGAGTATCTCTCCAGACAGTACCTGCCTTCTTGGTTTCTGTTAGCTTCTGGCTTCAGACTTTGACGTCCTCCTCTGTACCTCCTTTTTATTTATTCTTCAACTCAGCTCTTACCCTTGCTCCTGCCTGTTGGAATTCCCCTCCTCCACCTTTCTGTCTCTGCTTCCTTTTTCCAAATGCCATGCTGATGTTACCTTTCCAGCATCCATAGCTTACCTCGTTCTTGGAACTACTTAGTTCACAAGAAAAGGTTAAGGCTTTTAAATGGTTTCTTCTGGCACCTTTACATGCTTAAAATTAAAGATATCAAAAATATTTACATCTTATTTATAAGTTTGTAAAAACTTATAAAAAAGTTAATATCGGCGCACCGTAGATACCTTTACAAATCTAAGATTCCTGTAACTCACATGTCCATAGTGCCTTTCATTTACTCCCGAGGACCTCTGCCAATAAAGCGGTGTGAAATATTCTCTGAGTTCTATAGCTTCTTCTTTTATAGCATCTTTCTCTTTGGTTCCAGTTCCCCCAGATTCTCACTTCTCACTGTCTACTCGAAGAATCCATCGAGACAAGCAACCGCTTTCCTTGGCCAGTGTCCTTGAGCAGTGCTTCTCACACGTTAAATTGATATGAATCCCCTGGGGATCTTGTTAAAATTTGGATTCTGATTCAGTAGGTCTGGGTGGAGCCTGAGATTCTGCATTTGCTACAAGCTTCCGTCTGATGCTGATCTTGCTGATCCAGGGAAGCAATCGTCTACGGGCCTTCTTAAGCAGCTTTTGTGTTTGTCCCAAATGTTTTATCACCAAAGCTTTCTCTGTGCTTTGCTAATATGAAATCATCTCTCAACCAACTGCTGGATTAAGATTAGGCCAGTAGCCTTTAATATTGATGTTGGTTCTCTATACTTGAAAACTTTGTTGTTGTTGTTGCTTTCATTTTGCCAATCAACCTTCCTAGTTTCTGGCTAATTACCCTTACTTAGATCAACACAATGTGTCACAAGCTGCAAATCTTGGTCCTTAATCATTCTTACAAAACAACTTGTGTGACAATAGTCATTTTCTCTCTACATTCATTTCCTAAAACTGACTTTTGTTTCTTTATAACTGTCTTGTTGGCCCTTTTAAAACTTCCACTGATTTTGGATTTACCAGACATGATGGGATTAAAGATGTTCATAAAACACCTCAAAATGAGGCACACACATGCTACAGACCAATAATGCAATGGGCAAAACAAAAATGATTGGGCACACCCAGTAAAGCTATTTCCTAGTGATGGGCAGAATCTTTCGTTCTAATTTGGTACTTTAAAAAGAAAATTTTTGAGCAGAGGTATTTATTTAATTGAATAAAATTTTAAAAGATTTATTATTTCTCAATACCTGTGGTTTCCAAATCTACTAAATACTGACGCATCTTTCTCTATAGACTTGCTCATTTGATCACTTACTCAGTACCAGGTACTATTTCTGGGAGGTTGGGGGAGGGCTCAGTGACAGCACCTCTCTCCCTTACTTGTCTGAACCAACTGAGAAATAAGACAAGAGCATCAGCATAAAGTGGCCAAAACATCGCTTTCATTTCTGGTAAGGCTGATGAAGCACATGGCTTATACAATATTTATGGGTAAGCAGAATTCCTGTTATTGAACCTCAGCTGAAGACTTGCCTATCCAGTCACAGAAAGCACTGGGTCACCCCAGCCTCCTCACGAGGCAGCCAGTCCTTGTGGAATAGAATGAGTGTTCTCTGCTGGAAGTTTGCAGCCAGGATAAAGAAAAGAGAATGGGGCCAGGCTCCTTTGTCCCTAGCTTACTAACCAACATAGTCACCTCTCCTCCTCCAGGAAAGGCTTGGAGTGTTACACTGTGAAGGAGCTTCCTCCACATGGAAGAAATCATCCAGAGGGGGGAAGAGGTGTTTCCCCTGCTCAGCCATAAGCCACATGCGTTATCTTATTTGATTCCCACAACAAAACAATCAGTATTTACTGTTTACGTTTGATATTTTGTTCATCACATTTTTTGCATGAATTCTGAATTTTTTAAATATTGCATTAAAATATTATTCATTTTGAATACTGAGCTTTTTGGATCCCCTTAAATTTTGCACCTGAAGTGAATGCCTTACCTGCCTCACCCTTGTTCCAACCCTGAATTTAAAATAAATGGTGTTAAAAAAATAAGTTAAAAAACAACTTTTTCTTAATGAAATAATTATTAAATAAATTATCAGATAGTGATGTGTACTAAGTTGAGAAACAGGTTGTGTACAGGAAGTGATTGTGTGAATAACTTGAATGATCTCAGAAGACCTACCTAAGGGGATATTTAAGTTGAGATCTGAATGCCATGAAGAAGCCAGCACTGGGACATTTTGGAGAAAAGCTTGTGAAAAGGACTCAAGATGGAAATGAACCTGGAATTTTCAAGGAACACACACACAAGGTTACTATGGCTTAAATGTTGAGGTCATGGTAGGTGAGTAGTACAGTTGACCCTTGAACTGATCCCCTAGCAGTTGAAAATCCACATATAACTTTTGACTTCCCCAAAACTTAACTAATAGTCTACTGTTTGCCAGAAGGCTTATCGATATAATATAAATAGTAGATTAACACAATTTTGTATATGTATTATATACTATATTCTTGGAATAATATGTAATTTTTCTTTTTTTGGTATTTCTAGGCTATGTGGTTCCTCTTCAGGTTTTTTCTAATTGTCACACATCTCCAAAAAATTTTCCAATGTAGTTATTGAAAAAAAATCTGCATATAAGTGGATCCACACAGTTCAAACTAGTACTTGCTTTGTATAGAGTATCAGGAAGGGGTCAAATTTTAGGACTGTAAGCCAAGTAAGGAGTTTGAATTTTATTCTGTGGGCACAGGAAGCAACTGAAGGCTTTAAAGTAGGAAAGCAACATGATCTGATTGCTCTTTTAAATAATTCTCTTTGGCTGCCATGTCAAGGATGGGTTACAGGGGTGTAGATGGCAAAAGAGTAGTATCAGGGGACCTGTCAGTGTTCCTAGTGTAAGATGACAGTGTCCTGGTCTAGGGTGATTATAATAAGGATGGAGAAAGGGGAGCAGGTTCAGGAATACTTTAGAAATAGAGTGGATTGGATCTGATGAGTTAATATGGGGGATGAGGAAGAGAGAAAACAGGTGATTTCAGGTGGCTTAACTTGAGCAACTTGGTGGATTGCGGGGCCATTTACTGAAATGGAAAAGACTGGGGGATGAGCAAGTCAGGAGATGAATATGCAATCAAGTCTTCAATTTTGGGTATGTTGGCTTGGAAATGCCTGCTGGATACATGTTAAGTGAGCAACTGGTCTGAATTGAAGGAGCAGGAGGGAGGACAGGGCTGAAAATAGAGAATTGGGCGTCCATCAGTGCCTCGATAGAATTAACAGCATGGTAGAGCACACGTGAAGAGCGGGAGGTTAGTGATGGGGCCTTGGGAGCAGCTGTTGAAATAGGAGTGGAGAGGAAGGGAGAATATATGATGTCCCTGAAAGCAAGAGAAGAATGTGTCTTAAAAATGGCATGGGGGGTAGGGGCACCTGGGTGGCTCAGTCACTTAAGCCTCTGCCTTCAGCTCAGGTTATGATCTCAGGGTCCTGGGATTGAGCCTGGGGTGGGGCTCCCTGCTCAGTAGAGAGTCTGCTTCTCCCTCACCCTGCTCTTGTGCTCTCACTTGCATGCTCTCTTACTCTCTCCCTCTCAAGTAAATAAAATCTTTTTTAAAAAAATGGTATAAGGTACTGCTTACATTGAGAGCCACTGAGAGGTAGAGAAAAAAATCAGGGCAGATAAGTAACAAATGGCATTGGCAACATGGAAGTCACTGGTGACTTGACAAAGGCAACCTCCTTTGGTGTGAAGGGCACAAAAGCATCATGGAGGTCGAAGTGTAAAGTGATGATGTCGAAACAGTTGATTATCGTTCCCATTTTACGAGTGAAGAAACCGAGGCTTAGAATGGTTAACTATCTCATCCAAGCGCAAAGCCGGCGGGGTCAGATCCTGGACCCGGTGAGTCAAAGTTCGCTACAGGGATGTGCACGCTGTGCAAGATTTATGCAATTCTCTTCCAAACCGTAAAAACCAACGCTGCACTCAGAGAAGCCCTCGACTGAAAACATTCTTTCACGATGCCACTTCTTTTTAGAGAAAAACGAGAGGGCCTGGCTTGGGCTAGAAAAAGGCATCTGGGGCTCTACGGCTTGCTCAGCCCGGCGAGAAGAACCGCCCCTTCTCCGCAACCCGAGGCCGGCGCGGCTCACCGCGCCTGCGCGGGCCTGGGCGCAGCGGGGGCGGGTACGCGGAAGAGGGCTGTAGCGCGGGGCGCCGACCGAGCTGGGGGCGGGGCTGGGCGCGAGTGTGCGGGGCGCGCGGGTGACAGGTGTGGCGGCGGCCTCGCGGGACCCGGGGCGACGGCAGCGGCGGCGGCCTGAAGCCTGAGGGGCGGAGACGCGGCGGCGGCGGCGGCGATGCTGGAGACCCTGCGCGAGCGGCTGCTGAGCGTGCAGCAGGATTTCACCTCCGGGTGGGTATACGGTGGGGGACGGAAAGGACCGGCGGGCTGGGCCCGGGCCCCCCGGACACTGCCTCCTACCCTCCTTCCTTTCCCCGCACCCCGGCCCGCCCCGGTTCTGTGCCGCGCTTCCCATCCCCGCCCCGCCGAGGAGAGGAACGAACTTTCCGGCGTCGGCCGGTTGGCACTAAGTAACTTAGGTCCCAGCCGGCCGGCCCCGCCTCGCGCCGCGGAGTGCGCGGGGGATGCCTGGGCCCCCGTCCCGGCGTCCGGGCGAGCGCGCCCTCCGCTTCCGCCGCCCGCGGGACGGGGGCCTGCGCCTCCGGGGCACCTGCTGGCTCCGGCCTCGGGCTCCTGCGGCGCCGCGGGGAGCCGGGCCCGCCGCCCCCTGCCCGGGCCGAAGGTCGCGGGCGCCGCAGCGCGTACTGCCGGTCCGCGTGCCGTCCCCGCTTCCTCGCGCGGCCCGCTCGCGGAACCCTCGGCGCTGCCGGCCGCCTCTTTCCCTCCCTTTTGTTTTCTCCCTCTGTCGGCGCGCCGGCTTCGGCGCCTTGGTGAAGAAATTCGTGGGGCCAAAAGAGCAACAGAACTACATCGACACTGCTCACAGCTAGCTGGTGGTTACAAGCGCAGACCAAGCGGTTCCCAAACTTGGCTTCGAGTCACCTGGGAATCGAACACTGCTGATCTCAGGTTGCCGCCCATGCCAATGTAATCAGCCTGGGGCCGGAGTTTTCAGGATTCCCCCAGCTGATTCCAGTGTGCCGGGAAGTTTGGGAACGACAGGCACGGGTTCTAGCGCCAGACTCCCAGGACTCTCATCTCTGCCACTAAGCAAATGTGCTTTTGCAAGTTACTTGTCTTGCCTCGGTTTCCACAACTGTACAGAGGTGATAAAGACGATACTAAAAAAAAAAAAAAAAAAAGACGGTACTAACAGGGTTGTGAAGATTAGTGAATGAA